TTCCTCCAGGCACAGGAATAAGCTGAACAGATACAGGCACTGTGATGCTGGCGGAGCAGCAGCCACAAAGGAGGCTTGTCCTGACGGAGCCCCACTGAAAGGTGCTGTGTTTGCCCACAGGGTGCAGAGCCAGCACTGGTGGAGTCAGTGTGTCCTTTAAAAAGAGCTGGATTTGTGCAATACTTTTAATAATAAGTAGTTATTTCTTATTATTCCTCTTGTATTTAAAAAAAAAATAATAATTATCAACATGTTAGAGGCAAACGGGGACAAAGTCTCTACCTGGAGAGTGACCCAAGAGCTTGATTCAGTGCTTATTGCAGTAGCTGAGAATATTTGTACTGTCAGACTCATTAAAAGGAGGGATGGTAAACAGCCTTTGTTTTTATTTTTATAGGAAATTGACTCATCGTTGCATTTGCTGAGCCTCTTGGCTGAGACTGCTGTTTTTCTAAGCATTGACTGATCAGATCCTGGCAGTCCTTTAAGTCACTTACAGGGATGACTGGAAACAGGCTCTTCCTTGTGAGGTAGGTACCAGGAAGCTCCCAGGCAGTGGCACACAGACACACAGGTAAGTGTCCAAAGGCAATTAGAAAAGCTGGGCGTTCCCAACAATCCAGTGAACCCTTCCTTGCCCACAACTGTTATGAGCCTGACATCTTCAACAACAATAAAGTACCCCAGCAAATAAGTTATCACCCAAGTGTTTTCATGGGGGATAAGGGGAGAGTTCCATTTGATATTTTGGTTCCCCCCCCCCTGCAGTGTCTGAGGGATAAAATAATTGTGTGGAAGCCCCAAGGGGTGTTTCCTCTCCTCATGCTGCCCCGAGAAGACGGTGCCATCAGCCTTTCAGGTGTTACAAATACCCAACACAGGATTGGAATGTGTGTTGGATCCTATGTTCCACACAGAATATCTGCTCCAGCTCCTCATGCTTTAATTATTTCTGTACGAGCAGCCCCCCCTTGCACCACCTGCTCGCTTTTGTTTTAGCACCGCACGGCTCATGAGCAGCGACGCTGAACTCCACGCAGGGAGCCTTGGATGGTTACGGGCTCTGCAGGGAGAGCGTGTGGGTAAGGGCTGGGATCTGTGCCACACACTCATCCCGATTCATCTATTTCATGAATCAGGACTTGGGTCCTATTTGCTAATGCCTGTCTGCGTAACCTTTGCTATGTCAACGGTGCCTGTGCTCTGATGTCAGCTGCTGGACTCTGAGCGCTGGCAGCTGGTGTCCCTGGCCAGCTCCCAGCCTACAATTCAATTTTCCTACCAGTCACTTGAGAAGAGAGGAAAAAACATGTTTCTGCCTGTTTGTGGCATCAAAACATAAAGGGCTTCAGTTTACAAGGTCATTTAAGGCTTTTCTACAGCGTGACACACGGGAAAGTACAGATAAATCAAACAGTGGTATAAAGTTAATACACCTTCACTTACGGTGCACTGAACTACAGTAAACTAAGGCTGGTTTAATTCTGAATAAAAATCTTAGCACAAGAGTTTTATGCCTTCTAGGTATTGTACCTTAACATCCCCTCTCTGAATACAGGCCAGTCTGGAGATATTTTTACCCTTTTCCCAATCTTGTGAATAGTGGAAAATTACCACAGAGCTAAAAGGCAGGAGTGTTTGGGAATAAAGGAACCACCCACGAACAGAAGAGCTCCGGTCTCCTTTCTTATACTGACTTGCTGCGTGACTTTGTCTACAGCATTTTGTGAGCCTCAATATTTATACCTGCATATTGGGGTTATTAGTGTCTTCCCTGCCATTACAAAGGGCTTTAAGATTTTCAGAGGAATTTCTCCTCCTGTGTACCGTTTCCCCAGCACGGGCTGTCCAGGGAATGTACAAAAATATGTAAAGCTGATACAGATGAGCAGTCAGGTCTGTGTCTGGAGGGCTGAACTTGGGTGTCACAGTTAGTTCTAAGAGTAAAGGAGTGAAGGAATTCACACCTCCTCACATCCAGCACCACCAGGTTCTGTCTCCCTAGACTGACAAGGCAAAGAAAAAATTATGACACCAAGTGAAGTACCTGTGATGCATTAAATAATAACTCTGTGTAAACCAGAATCAATGTCCCCAGGGCACAGCTCTGTCCCATTAGCTGTTTGTCAGTCATCACGCTTATTTTAGCTGGGAATGGTATCATTTGGGACCTTTTTCATGGTTTTAAAGGTTTAGGAAGGAGGTATTTATTTCAATGTAGCCAGTGGTACATAAAAAATTCCACCGACTCAGATGGGACTGATTTGTTAGGGAATGGCTCTTGTAGCATTCTGTTTGTCTGAGCTCAAACTCTCATCCCTTTTCCACATATTTTAATAAACATACGGCATAGCAGCAAGGCCTTGAATGAACATGTTCTCTCTTGTCAAGAACTGCTGACAATCTCCTTTCTTTACTACAACAGCTCTGAAGATCAGACCTGCTGGACAGTAAGAAGTCAGATTTGCTTCACTTTTCTTCACTCCCTGGGATGCAAACAAAAGAAACCAGAGCAAGTTCCTGCCTGATAAAATTCCAGGGGCTTGAACCACATTCCAGCACGGTGAGGCGTTTTGAATCTTTTCTCGGTATACATCAGCCCTGCACTGCTCTCAGGCAACTGCACTTTAAGTTAGATATTATTAATTTTAAAGGTTTGACTACCAATAGTTCTCATTAATTGCCATGGCAATATTGCCTGAAACAAAATAGCAATTGCTTTGGGTTGTATAACCAAAGTTCCTAACGTGAAGGAATGCGATCCAGGAAAAGCGCTCAGATGGAGGGAACTGACCGACCTTGCATAACCTCCCTGGGGCCAAACTTCCCTTCCTATCTAGCAAGCTGCATTCCATTTTTTGCTGAAAATATTGAACAGTTTGCACTTTCAGCCTGTGTCCTCTGGGCTTCAGTCTCTAGCATGCCTTTCAGCTTTCCTGAAACGTTTCTCCCACACGATTATTCCTTTATATTCCTGCTAACGACGCATGGCTCGAGCTTCCACATGAGAAGATGTAACAGGGATATAAACGATAATAGAAAATTTTAAAACCATGTTACTTTCCTCTTCTCTGTTTCTATTGCTAAGATTATTATTTCTGCAGAAAACAGCTGAGACACCTACCATGATTGATTTAGACATTAAATTATGGAGTTCAATGCTTTCACTCTTTCAATAAACTCCAAATATCTTTAAAAGTTTCTCTTCTGGTTACATGGCCATTTGGTTAAGTAGAATAGTGGCAGTCAGTAAGAACTAAAACATTTCCCAGAATCTAAAGAGAGAAGTGTTATGAACAAAGAGGAACCTAAGTGGGTGTAAATTCCTCGCCCTGCTATGCCAGTAGGATTATATCTCAGGCTTTCAGAGCAGGAAAAGGATGTTACAGGCATAATGGCAGGGAATATCAATCAGATAACTCCATCTAATTACAGAGTTACTAGATTAACTAGTCAAGTTCAGCTACATGAAGGCAACTGGCCAAGTGCCACAACAGAAACAAGATTCAGAGGAACAATTTCTCAACACATTAAATAAGCTCTTGTAAGGACTAGTTTCAGATCAGACAACAGACTGTGCTTGGCTAAATTTAAAAGACAAAAGGTAAGAAAGAACAATAGCTGAATCCTTTCTTAATATTAACTACAAATTCAGCTTTCCTAAAGAAAGAATTGCACCTAAAGGACAGGAAAATGACACTGAATTTTAGTAGATTTATTTTCACAGGGAGTGAGCCATTAATAAAAGATGTTTTGCGTAAACAAAACACATTGATAGTGCTGTTGAAGGGGGCAGAGGCACAGGCCCCTAACTTTGAAGTCCTTATTTTAACACAGTTTATGATACTCTGGCACTGTACAAAACATGACTGTGTGCCATGTCCTGCTCCCTGTGTCCTCCTGCACTTGGGGTGTGTGTCTGGGTATGTGAGGGGGTGTGAGGGGTCCTCTCTTGAGCTTCCACCTGCAGAGCTGCCTCCAGCTCTGGGGGCCGAGCACAGGAAGGTCATGGAGCTGCTGGAGCGAGCCCAGAGGAGGCACCGAGATAATCAGAGGGATGGAGCAGCTCTGCTGTGAGGAAAGGCTGGGAGAATTGGGGTTGTTCAGCCTGGAGAAGAGAAGGCTTCAGGGTGACCTAATTGCAGCCTTCTAGTATAGAATCAGAGAATCACAGAATACGCTGAGTTGGAAGGGACCCATTGGGATCATCGAGTCCAACTCCAGGCCCTGTGCAGGACACCCCAACAACCCCACCATGTGCCTGAGAGTGTTGTCCAAATGCTTCTTGAACTGCAGACAGGCTTGGTGCTGTGCCCACTGCCCTGGGGACCCTGTTCCAGTGCTCAGCGACTGTCTAGGCGAAAAAACCTTTTCCCGGTATCTAACCTAAACCTCCACAGATTCATGCTGTACCTGAAGGGAGCCCACAAGAAACGTGGAAAGAGACTATTTACCGGGGGCACATAATGACAGGACAAGGGGGAATGGCTTCACACTGACAGAGAGCAGGGTTAGATTGGATATTGGGAAGATTTTCCCTGTGAGGGTGCTGAGGCAGGCGGGGAAAGCTGCGGGTGTTCAGCCTGGAGAAGGGAAGGCTCCGGGGAGACCTCACAGAGCCCCTCCCAGCGCCTCAAGGCGGCTCGTAAAAACGTGGAGAGTGACTTTTTACAGGGGCAGGACAAAAGGGAACTGCTTTAAGCCAAAAGAGGAGAGATTTAGGCTATATGTTAGGAAGAAGTTTTTAACAATGAGGGACGGTGAGGCCGTGGCAGGGCGATCCCTGGAAGCGCCCAAGGCCAGGTTGGAGCTGACACGGAGCAACCCGGTCAGACGGGAGGCGGCCCTGCCCGTGGCAGGGGGGTGGAACAGGGTGACTTTCCAACTCTTTCCACCGCCAAACCATTTCCAGCCCCAGGGCTGACCGTCCCCTCAGGGTGCCGGGGCAGCGCCGCGCATGCGCCCCTGCTCTGCCTCCCCGCCCGGCAGCGCGCAGGCGCGCGGGCCGCCCCCGCCCGGCACGGCGACCGACGGGCGGCGGAGCCCGCGCCCCCCCCGCGCCCCCGCCCCGGCGGCATGAGGGGACAGCGCGGCCGGAGCGAGCGAGCGGTAAGCGCGGCGCTGAGCCTGCCCTGCCCTGCCCTGCCCTGCCTTGAGCCCTGCCGCCGCCGCCGTGCCCCCGCGGCAAGTTTCCCATTGTCCGCCCGCTGCCTGCCGGCTGCTCTCGGCGCTGACCGCGACGAGCCCCCGGGAGCGGCCGGCGCTGCCCGTGGCGGGCGGGGGGTGGTGGTGGTGGTGGTTGGTGGGGAGGATGGGGATGGTGATGGTGGTGGGGATGGTGGTGGTGGTGGTGGGGCGGGGGGTCGCGGTGCTCGGGCGGGTCACGGCGGCGCCGCCGCGGCCGCTGCGCTGCCGGGCCCCGGCCGGATCCCCCCGGGGCAGCGCGGGGATCTCACAGCTGTCCCCCCAGCCCGTCCTGTCCCCTCCCGGAGTGTCCCGGATCTCGCAGGGGCTATCACAGGTGCGCCCCTCCCTCCGTCCCCCCAGTCCCATCCTGTACCCTGCCGGAGTGTCCCGCATCCCGCGGGGGATGTCACTGGTGTTCCCCCTCATCCTTTCCCGTCCCCTCCAGGCGTGTCCCGCATCCCGCGGGGGCGGCGCGGGGCTGTCACAGGTGTCCCTCTTATCCCTTCGTGTCCCTTCCCGAGGTGTCCCGCATCCTCCAGGACACCGCGGGGCTCTCACATGTGCTCCCCCCATCCCGTCCCGTCCTCTCGCGGCGTGTCCCGCATCCCTCGTATCCCCCTGGAGCAGCGCGGGGCTGTCACAGATGTCCCCTCCGTCCCTTCCCGGGGTGTCCCGCATCCCTCGGGACAACACGGGACTGTCACAGGTGTCCCCCCCATCCCTTCCTCTCCCCTCCCGGCGTGTCCCGCATCCCTCCGGAGCAGCGCGGGGCTGTCACAACTGTCCCGTCCCATCCCGTCCCGGGGTGTCCCGTGTTCTCCCGGGACACGGCGGGGCTGTCACACAGGCGTCCCCCCCATCCCTTCCAGGGGTGTCCCGGCTTCGCGGCGGGAGGAAACGCGGAGTTTCTTTGTTGTGTAACTCTTTTTTTTTTTTTGTACGAGGATTACAGAGGGCTTGCGGCTGTTTGTGCTGATTCAGGTGGTTTTTTTGTAAAATGCAGGGTAGTCATGGGTAAATTCCGCTCTGGAATGGGATGCCGGAGAACTTTCCCGCGGCTCTGGGGGTTGTTGTTGGCTCCTGCCGTGTCCGAGGAGCCGCCGAGCCCCGCTCCGGGGCCGGTGTCGCTCCCGCAGCGCTGCAGGAACGTGAGAGCGCCTTGAGGACGGAAAAGTAAAGCGAACTTACTCTAACAAACCCATTTCTCTCCAAAATGACGCTGGCTCGCAGCCCGCGGCTCATCTGCGAGTGCTGCTGCCAGGATTTTTCAATAAACGTAATTGCAGTCGGGAGAGTTCGGGTCAAGCCGGGGAAAGCAGACACGAAGCCTTTGGAATAACTCCACTCCGTGTTGCCAGTGAAATTTTTTCTGGCCGTATAGTGGAATTTTTGCAGTTTCGTCCAGTTGTGTTTTTTTCCCCAGCTCTCTCTTAAGTTTCTCTCTCGAAAGTTTTAATTAATTCTATTTGGCGGTTATAAAGGAGTGCTTTGTATCGCTGTGCTGTAGTGGTCCGTTTTTTTCTTTCTTTCTGAAAACAGGAATTTTTAACATTTCTTTCTTAACCTCTCTTTGTCTTTTCTGTATTTATTTATTTATTTTTTTAAAACCCAGTCCCAATTCAGCGTGAGCCCTGAGCAGGGCAGCCCACATACAGTGCTGGGGGACCGGGAAATGCTTCTGTGCCTGCCGCTGGGATGTGTCAGTGTTTGGTTCTCAGCAGCAGCACAGGAAGTCTCACCATCCTGACGAAGAGTCATAAACCCTGTTAAAGATTAGTTACTAAAAGTGGCCTGAAAATGTGCTAATTTTGTGTCGTGTTTGGAAGAAATGATAAGTCATTTCTGACAAATATATATATATATATAGCTTTTCAAGGCCCCCTTGGGTCTTAAAAAGAGTCGTCAAGGAATTGTGAAGGGTTTCCTGTGGAATTGCTCGCGTGGTACCACGCACGGAATAATTGCATGAGGAAATTGAAAATGGCTTCCTACGTCTGACAGATGGTTTTAACAATTTTCTTTTTCAGGTTTGAGTCGGCCTCACTAAACTGCAGCGATGGTGCAGAAGTACCAATCCCCCGTACGGGTGTATAAACACCCTTTTGAGTTAATTATGGCTGTGAGTATTAATTTTTGCTGTAATTTTCTTCTTGGCACTCCCCTCTGTTGCTGAGTACTTACTGGGATCTGTTTCATAGGTGCTGTAGAACATACAAAGCTGGAACAATAAGCAAAATATGAGATATGTGTGTTTTGATGGCTGCTTCTCTGGCCAGAGTGTTGTGTTTTTTTTTTTTTTAGGTAATGTTCTCTGATTTTTCTGAATTTTAGGTATAACTTACAGATGAAATTTACAGGTGATAATTTCCAGATGTATTTGAAAGTGAGAGCAGAAGTAGGCTCGAAGTGTACTGCCCAGTTGATTACTGGGAGCAAACTCTTCTAGAATGGGAGAAAGTGTCATGTAGGTTGATTAAAAGATTGTTGTGGTTGTGTCTTCATCAGAGTAGAGTTTACAGGGCTCGAGAGCACAAAGAAAGCCATGAAAGCAAAGATAAGCCTGAGTGAAAAAAGAGAAAGGACACTGGTGATACTTTCAGGGAAGGAAAGCAAAAAGCTTCCAGGGAGGTCAGAGAGATGAACAAAAAGCCTTTTGGCTGCGTGGTTGCTAATTTGTGTAATAATGTTACAATAGTGATTAAAAAAAAAGAAGAAATCCTAATTAGGTTCCCTCTCCCCTTCTCCCTCCCTCTTTTTATTAAGCAAACCAAAAAGGAAGTAGGTATTTGACATTTTAAAGTCTATTCAGCTGAAACCACAGCTGTGGGGCTCTCATTAGCTACAAAGAGCAGTTAAGGAGCTTTTCCCTGATAAAAACAGTTAAAACTGAATCATAACCTAAATAATAATTGTTTTATTTCGCTCGCTGAAAAATACTATATTTAATGGCCTCAGAGGAGAGTTCTAAAAGTGCTCCTAGTGTAAATATTTAGATAGATCACATGGTTTGGAGTGCAGAGTTCCTTACAGAAGTGATCCTTTGCAGTCTCAGGGCAAAAAAAAAGGATTAGGTCACTCTACAGGGAATACTTCCATTTCTTTTTATCTTACTCCTAAAGCTGCCTCCAGTATTACACATGTAGGTCTTGCTCTTGCAAACACTTCAAGGCAGAGAGTGGTTATTTTCCTGAGCACAGAAGAATCAGACTGTGATATGTTTAAGGTCTTTTAGGACCTTACTACGCTGACAGCTGGGCTTCAGGTGGTTTCTAATTTAAATTTGATGGTGTATGTAACTTCAGCCTTCAGTGGACTTACACTGGCTCTTAGATCAATCAGCCAAAATGAGTTTCTTGGATGAAATTCCCTGGCTGTTTGCTGGACTGATAAATCTTCACCTCGCTGTCGAACTGAAGGCAAAAATTTCTTCCCTTGAGTTATTTCTTCAAGGATATTTTGAGTCAAAATGCTGATATCAGGATTTTTCACAACTCTTTTTGGGTGTAATTAGAAACACTTCTGACTATTAATGTGAACTGTGAGTTCTCCAACTGCTCTGTGTCTTGGGGGTAATATTTGAAGAATAATTTTCAACAAATATTAGGTCTTTCCTTACTGTAAGACTTTTCTTTGGACAGAAAGAGGCTGTGCTACATATGCAATTAGGATAAGACATTAGTTGAAAAATTAAAAGTGAACTAAGAGGAGAAGAATGTTTATAAAAAGAAACAGCTGAACAAGATCCTTTCTGGGACTGGAGGTTTAGATGAGCGATAATACACATGATTTATTTAGTCTGTGTCAGGGCAGTGAGTTATCACTTGAACTGGTTCAGAATGTGAGCACTGGGTGAACATCCTCCTCCTGCCATGTCGCTTCTGATTTTTAGAACTTGTAAAATTCCTGGAGGTGATCCATCCAAACTGTCCGTGCATTTTGTGAAGGGTGTGGAGGAGTTCCTCCATGAGCCAAATCCTGCAAGGAGTATAAACAGTGTATGATAGCTTGATGCTTTGTTACTGTTTTGTTACTCTCTTCCCTTGGTGGAATACTGATTGCATAAGTTGATGAAGTATTTCTTGAATATTTGTGTCAAATTTTGTGCTCACTAAGGTGGAAGCACTACGTTGCATGTTCTCAACAAAAAGGTGCTATAATGTTGTTTTAACAGTGGCACCAGCTCTTCTGAAATGAGGTGCATGGCTTGGTGTATACCAAGCTTCAATTTAAAGCACCCAACAATGACTTAACAGTATGTTTTATTTTATTCTTCTCTTCCCCTCTCTTTTATTTGCACCCAACCTCTGAGAGAGGAGTGTGTCCTCAAACAGAGGTTTAAACCCACACACCAGAGATACTCACCTGTCAGTAAAAAGCCTCTTGGAGAAACCTTTGTTTGCTGGGTCGTCTTGTGTGGGATCTCATCTTCGTCTTAACGTGCTGAGTACTTTTAAAAATGTTATTTGGTAAATTGTCCTCCTTCTCCTGGGTTTTCTGTGGAACTGAAGAGGTAATTCATTCTGTAGAGTAGCAGTGAAGTTCACCAGTGTCAGTGAAGGGATGTGGACTTCACTGTAAAGGTTTCCTGGATGATACGTGTTCCAGTTACAAAGTGGAACTCATTAAGCCAAACTAATATTTAGCCTTCAGATAGAGAAATCAGCATTAAATTCTTCTTTTCTACCAGCAACTGAGTGAATGCCACTTGCAGAGTGGGTCATTTAGATTCCAAAATTCCTATTTGCCCACTTTTCCTTTCCTGGGTTTCCAAGAGGTACTTGAGGGAGAATGGAGCACAATCAGCATTCCATTCATGGAGCTCTAGTGTGTTTTGAGAGAACTTTGTTCTCTCTGTGAAGTGTGAGTGCAGCTCTATATGAAGACAAAAAACTGAATTTAACTCCACTTTGATCTAAGCCAAGATTGACAAGACAAGTGCTTTGCAGACAATTATGGTATAAAGACTTTTAAAATAGACACAGTCAGAATTCTTTTCCTGAGTCGAATTGATGTTGCAAATAAGTTCCTCTGTTAATACTCCTCCACTTAAATCCAAAACTCATCTGCTGAACTCTAATATATCTCTGTGGCAGTGTCCTTGAAGGCACAACTCCCTGTCTCCCAGGCATAGGGGAGGTGCTGTGGTTGGTGGAGATCAGGAGATCCATCCTGAAAGCTTCTTGCCTGCCTTCATCATTAAGGGCCAGCTATGTAAAAATCTAGTACGAGCTACTTCCCTTGGAGATTTCCTTTTACTGCCAAATTGTGTGGTTCCAGATAATACCTAAGATGCAAATCTTGCAAGGAAACTGTGTCCAGAGCTTGAAAAGACTGTATCACAGTCTAGAAATTACAGTATCACAGGCTAGAAATTACCGTGGTTTGGTCTGACACACCTAACACAGGCACGATGATTTCACCAAATATTTTCCAAAGCTGACACGATGATTTTTTGGCTGTCCTGTGGCGTGTCTGTCATAATTAACTTCTTGAAATCTCTGTGTTAGTGTGGGTGTATATATATATATGTATATATTAAAAAAGCACCCAGACCAACAGCTTGCACAGCTGTTCATCAGACTGAATAGAATCTCGCCTGGCTTTTCCTCCTGTTCCTGCTGGAGTTTACGTAATGCTGGAAGCAGCTGAAATGTGGAAAAATGGCTGTTTACTTAGACTCACTTGTCAAGTTACCAAGGTTAAATATACTGGAGAAAAAAATGAGAAGCTGCTTTTATAAAACTTCTAAAGATTACAGATTCAATTTTTTATATTAGCTTAAAGAGGTTTACATTTAAAGTAATACAGGGACTTTGCTGAATAAGTAGTTCTTAATATTAAAAGGCAGTTAAGAACTTGAATCTTCCTTAACACACGAGAGGCTAAAATTAACTTTGGAGATTCGCAGCTCATTTTCAGTCTGACATACTTTAGATAATTCCCCTTGAGTTTAATTTCCAAAGTAAATTTAAATAATGAATAATCAGCTGCAATGGCATTCCAAGGGTGGAATGCAAATGCAAAATAAGTAAGATTTTGGAAAAAACACACATTGAATCGAACCATTGACCACAGGGACTTTTTTTTTTTTTTGGTTTATGGAAGCTCTGTGAAAAATTTATTGCTCTTCAACCCATTTAGAAAAAGGCCTATTTACAGCCACAAATTACTTAGTTTCAGAAATAAATGTGAATAAAAAAATCAATCTCAACATTTTTCCTTTGTTCTGATGGAATATCTAAAGTATCTCAAGCATGAATCTTTCCTAGTAAGTATAATGTATAGTGCCTTTCATTGTATTATCATTTTAATGGTTCAAATTTGCTGCTTTTGGACAAAGAGGCTGCCTGGCTTTCTTTGTTTTTATAGATCTGAAAAAATAGTTTTTAAGGTCTAGCTCATGAATTAAAGTATCCCTAAATTACAGGTAAGTAATAAGATTGTAGATGGGATAAATACGCTTCAGTGATAGAGTAGATTAAAAAAAGAATGATCTGTTTTTTCAGATTGACAAATCAAAGTATAATCGCATGATCTAAACTGTAATGAGCTTCCTGATCAGGCAGTATGTTATCTTGTCATTATAAAAGTTATTGCTTGAAAAAGTAGTTTAAAACAGCCCCAAACTGCATCAAGTGCCACGCCTGCTCATAGAGCCTTGCAATTTTTGTTCCTTCCAGTCTCGTTTTCTTTTTCCTGGAAAAAGTGCATTCCACACATCACGTGAAGAGGGGCCGAGAGGCTGATGAGAACAAGGAAGCTCTTCTCCAAGTGCTTTGGAAAGCACAAAGTAGGCTTTAAATGTGTGGAGAAGGATATATAGGATTTGTCTTGGGTGTTGAAATCCCAGGGAAGGGAACAGCCTGCGTGTCCACTCCCAAAACTGCTCAGCTGTTTTCCCTGCCCTTGCAGGACTCTCAGACTCTCATCTACTTTGCTTCCTGCCTTTGTTGAAAACTCTGGTTTGTTTGCTATTGGAAATGTGTTGGTAAAACTGCAGTGGAGCAGAGCCTTGTGTGGAATTTCTGATATTTTATATGAAGTGCCTGCAGTTTCTCTGCTGGTTTGTGTTGTTGGTGCTCTCCTGTGTCAGCACTCGTTGTAAAGAGCAAATGACTT